GTGGAGAAGTTTGTCTGAGCTATGAAGGACACTGATTTTCTTCTCTCATCTCCTCTCTGTTGTTCAGTCTCCCTCTCAAGGCTAATAGTATTAGGGGCGGAGGAAGTGCTTCGAGATAAGCCTGAGGTCGCACAGTTGCAATCAATTACGGCGGTTAAATATTGCTATAAAAAGATTAAGGATTAGGATTGGGAGAAAGTAAAGAGGCTTGAGAGGTTGTACAAACGCCTCCGTGAGCGTGTAAGCACTCGAATGTGATGCATTAGTCATCTTATTCAGTTTTACTCGCAAGATATATCCAATCACTCCCCGACGTGGCCTCCTATCTTCCTCTCTGTCTCTTTCTGCGATTTCTCCCTCTTTTCAACTCCCTGTCATCCCCCCTCCTCCTTCCTCCTTCCTCCTTCCTCCCCTGCAAAACTCAAAGCCTAAATCTGACGGCAATCCTCTTTTTCCCGAAACTTTCAAACAGACTGACAGACCGATTTGCTCAGAGGACTTTGTGTCGATTGTCGTATTGGGAGGATGATAAAGAAATCTCGGTATTATCATGGTGCAATGTCGCACAATAACACAGTGGGAGGCTGCATGATGGAAGGCGCAGCAACAGCAGGAAATACTTAAACCGTTTAGCGCCCAGAATCTGTACAAATAGGAGCAAGGTCTTTTTTAGTACTCGTGCATTTGCTTAAATTGAAGCTAATTGAGGCCAACAATCAACACTTTAACCCTGAGCCTGACTGAATAAACACGCTGCCTTCTTTCCTGCACACGAACAAATTTCACAAACTGAGGCATTAGTCTGTTTTTTTAATATCTTCAACACCCACACAGACTGAGGTCACATTTCTAGAGGCATCCAAATACATATTCTCCGTTGTCTAACAGCGTAATGCTTCACCAGGTTAATGCATTTTGCTAATTAGAATTTTGTTTTTTGGCTTTTGCGAGGGCATCAGTATCTTTTTGCTCCGTCGTGTTACAGGCTAGACACGATTTCAGTTAAACGAATCGCTATCCAGACATCTGTCCCGTAGTTTTGGGATGCAGAGATGAGAGTACGACACTCAACAAGTTTGGCAAAGAGCTCTATTATCACTACAGCTGGCAAATAGATGTAAATGAATGCACTTATAGGACGACGGTTTTTGCGACGCCAGAACTTGCCTTTGTAGTCGATACACAATGTGGCTGTATAAACAGATTTATGGCCCCACGGCATGATTAATACAAGCACACACACACACACACACACACACAAGCTCTGAGACAAATGTCTTGCTCTGAGCTCGACGCTTGTGAGGTATCGAGGCTGCGCAGCCTAATATTTGACTGAGCAGCGTTCCGGCAGCAGTAAACCAATGCGCCGGTGTTGTTGCTCCCCACTTACATAACAGTGTTTATACGCCCCCAGTAGATATGACTTATTGGCTGCTCGGGATCTCTGACAATAGATAAAAATAGGATTACTCCGTCCCTTTACGATGAGGCGACTATCGCTCTTTGTGCTCAGACCTGCCTTTTCTCAGTTAGCACCGTAATGTCAATGAGTGGAAAACAAAAGGCAACATTAGGCATTCTTAATCCCTTAAAGCTGTTTCATGTAATTTAATAAATAAGCTGCTCCACTCGCTGCTTCGCTCCCCGCCACACCAGCGAGCCACCACTGGGAAATGACTCATGCATATTTCAGCACTGTGTCTGCCCATTCTGAGTGGAGCTTATTGTGGCTGCATGCAGACGCCAAATCAACCCTGTTTCCCTTCTCCTCTCGCTGTCTCTCTTTCATTTACCCCTCTGACACCCCGTTCTTTATCACTATTCAGCATTTCAGAACATGGACAGAAACGCTGAGAATAGAGACACACAAAAAAGGCTCTCAGCACATTTTCCATCACTGCCAGTATTCTCACATATTTATGAACTTTTACTGGAAAAAATATAAAAAAACAAAAAAAAGTTTTCAGAGTCAAACTCCTTGATGATCGATTCGTGTTCGATACGCACAAATCCATTGAGCGAAACCTTCGAGGGGTGAATGTGTTTTCTAACTCTGAGGATATTCCCACAATCAAGTCATTAACAAACATAACAGCAGTCCTCCTTGGATGGTTTCCCCTCGCGGCCCAGTTGAAACGGGTCTATTTGCTTTCCGAGCAGAACAGATTTAAAATAATCAAAGGACACCGTGGCACTGGAGGCTGCCCATGACCGACATGTGTGATCGTGTTTGCGGTGGGTAAACATCTGTTCCCAGCCTTCCAGTGTGCTGTAGATTCCTAAGATGTTGGACCTACAGGGAAATACAATCTAAAGATGGGGGGGAGGGGGGAAACCAGCCGCAATTAATTAATTGAAGTGTCCCAGACTTTCCCTGTAATTTGCACTTTAATTAAAAGTGTTCCCCGACAAGTGCGATAACCGCGCTACGTGTACCCATTGTGAGGAATTTATGGTCCGGGCGTCGCTAATGAACTTAAAACAGCGACATCTCCCCCATAACTATATACAACTGTATTTTCACATGTTTAAATCAGGTTTGTTGTTTCACACAAATAAAAAACTGCACACCGACTTTTTTGTTGTGCAGAACAGAAGCATTTCCCCAGGGGGGCCACGGGAGAGTTATACTGGAGATGCAAAAAAAACAAAAAGAGCTGTAGTCTAAAGGAGGAGGTGCTGATGTTCCAAAAACGAAGGTCAGGTAGTTCCTGCAGGTTTGTCCCTGATCTGTCCCAACACACTCAACAGTTGGAGCTGCAGAGGCTCTGACACGCAGCTCATGGAGTTAATTAAGCTACTTTAAAACCCTTCTCACCTAATTGCCACAATTTGCATTCTGTTAGACTTATCCTGTCCGGGGACATCATCATCAGGTCTATTGTGAATAAACGGTCATAAATCAACTTAGGAAGCAGAAAAACAGACTCTCTCGGTGGAAGTCCAGAATTTGCCAGAGAATCATTTTTTTGTCTTCACTAACGTAGTTAAACAGGAAGTGGTGACGCGTGATTCAGACGTACTAAATCATTTTGCCACGGCGCTGAGGAGCTGCTGGTGCACCACAGTGGACCGGTGCCGAGCCACTCACCTTGCTCTTGTTGGAAAAGTTATTTACAGGCTTGTGATAAAAACTCATCCATAAACATTCCCCTCCACTTCACCTTTAATTTCATATCATACAACCAGCTATATTCCTGGCAAACTCATCATCGGGTAATCATTCTGGAGAAGTTACAGCATATGGAATTATTTTAAGTTGTGCACCGGGCAGGACTGACTGACAGCAGTTTATATCTGGAACCAGAACCAGCGCGCGGCTCTGATAGGCGGCTACATGGTGAGCTGCTGTATCGGCCTGATACTGGGCTGTGTCTAATATGGTGGAGATTGACTTGCTCTTGTTGGCTCCCAGGTAGCGAGGGAGGATTTAAACTATTTTACCTCCCCAGATCTTCACACCTTCCCTCAGGCCGTCTCACCTCGATGCCTTAAATATTAATGGTAAAACGGGGGATAGAGGATGAGTGAGGAGGGGAGCGGACTGACAGCTTAATCATGGAGGCAGTAGCCTCCCTCCCTCCTCTCTCTCAATGCTGTGGGCGGCTGTCACCGCGACCTACATGATGTAATCACCTCCATAACCCTGATATGGGCCACCAGGGGCCATGCAGGGAGATGGAGAGATTTTTTTCAATTTCAAACAACAAAAGAAAACTATGTATAGCTTATTAATGATAAACACACAAACATGAACTCATACATTATAAAACATAAACAATAAAACTAAACTAATCAACTGGATAGCTTGAGGTCATTGTAAGTCCACTTGTCTGGATTGCCATTGCTTTTAAAGAATCAAGAAGCCATACATGCTACCTAACATGTCCGTGTGCTTGTTCTGTATTGCTGCTAACATACGTGTTCATGGCTTTACAGTTCATGTCGATAGCACCGCTAACAACAAGCCTGAGTGATTTATTGTATTATTTTCACAGCGAGTTGCTCAGAAATGCTTTCACTTAGCGTCCAAATAGTTAACATCTTAAAGAAAATGTCCAGAAACTTTTCAAAACAGGCAAAAATATTTGTAAAGAATGAATAAAGAAGGATTTTAGTGTTAAAACCCAAACAGGTGAAACATCACCACGACTTTGTTCGTGACAAAAACACGACTGGTTGAGTGTAAAAGGTTGACACTAATTAAGCTTCTCATTAATTTTCTGTTTGATGGTTAGGAAACTGGAAAGTTAAAACTGGCAAAATGTTTATTGCTCTGCTGCATAAGAAGACGTTTCCAATCAGTCTTTATTCTGACAGCACATAGGAAGAGAAGTTTTGATGCAACACGACGGCTTTGATCCGAGGATGTTACGGCTCGTTGTCAGCGCATCTATATTTTATGATGCCAATACATCGTCTGTTTGGCACTTGCTGTTGTTTCCAAATTTCAGATTTTCAACTGGACAAGACGGAGCTGTGGAGCCTTGAGCACTTACTGCACGAATAAAATGGGAAAAAGCCTTTGAGGGGGCCGACTGACAGAATACGATGCAGTACATGCAGTCGTTTAATAAAGGAGAGAAAAGCAGAACACCTGAACGCTACGTCCTGAAGATGAAGAACCAGAAGAATGGCAGATAGAAAGATTATTATGCAGAAAACATAGTCAAAGGAATAGTTGGTTTTCGAAGCATGGCCTAACATTTAAAGAGTCGGTGGAAAACGTTGCCCTAAAGTGGCAGGAATTGATAGATGGTGCTTCCTCAGAAACCTTGGCTCATTATCTCACTTCAAGTTACAGTATTTCCCATGTGGACAGTCGAATCTGGACTAAAACAAGGATGTGAATATGAAACAGATCATTGTTACCCTCTCTGACCTCCTCAGATCAATATAATTGATCTCATTGAAGCAGCAATGGCCGGGCATTTTCAACAAGACGCGCCGGACAGTGTGAGACCAAAAGCAATAATCGGGAGCAGAGCCGCCCTTCTTACCCCATTTATAGGATACGTCTTCCATCCCAGCTCCCCGAGCACCGACGTCGTATCCAGCAGCACGACTGAAATGGGAAAAAAAGAGGAGAAAATACACCCATTAGCAATCTAACAACAAGGAGAAAGTCTCATTCTGACACTGGAAATTGAAATATCAGTCATAAACATGTTCATCTCGACATTTTTTATATTAACAAAAATGAGTTTCTTGAATGAATATTTATGAGCGAGGCGGCACATACAGTGGGAGCAACATTTTTGCCACTTGCGACACAATTTAGGGACTGATGGATTGCAGTCAGATTGCTGTCAACAGTCCATTCCCTCCTCTGCCATCCACGGCTTTACCTCAATCTCCCGCACAACAATATGCTCGCTTTGCCGCCCGTCAGTGAGACTTTACATGGGGTATAATCAGCGATGTGTGTGTCCTCCACCCTTCCCGTGCCATGGGAGTGTTTCATTACGCCAAATTTTAATCAGGACCCTGGTATGTTTTGTTGTAAATGAAAGCTCTGGTTTTGGCATAAAGTCGTATCCAGCATCATAATATCACTGTCGGTTGGCTTTAACCTTCCAAGTAGCGTTGAAAAACAATGCAATTTTACTGTGGAAAATATTGCCATCCTTGTCAATATTTTGTCTTGCTCTCAAGGACAATAGATTTAATAATTCAGGAGGAACGCGGTTCTCCCAGCGACAAATGATTTACAGTGAAAAGGAGCAGAAACGGCTTCCTGGGTTTACCTACAGTGTGATGCCAGCGTGACACCACTGCCTTAAAAAAAAAAAAAAAGACAAGAATTAACCCAAACCTGTGACAACATTAGGGCACAGACAGCAGACAGACACCCTGATGCATTCTCAGCAGTCATAAATATTACATGGCGCCCATACAGTCACCTTGTCAAATGTGCCAAACACTCGGTATGTGTTACAATCCAGTTACAGAATGTCCTAATTATGTGTGGAAGCGGCGCATCGTGGAGTAGGTATAGGGAAACAATTGGTATTCAGCGAGAAAACTGATAGCTGGCAGGAAAACAACAACTCTCGACTCAAGAGGCTTGTTTAAAACTATTCATTTCTCTCTCGCAGTATGAGTCATCATCGTTGGAACTGGTCGTCAGTGGCACAGAATCATCTTTAAAGTTTTTTTTCCGTGAGCAGCCAGCCACTGGCTCAGATCCTAAACGGTGCACCGTGAATCACACGCGGTGGACACGGACACTGATTTCTGACAAATCACGGTGTATTTTCTTCTACTTGGATAATGACTGAATTTTAAGCGTCAGTCAGTCATGAATGTCCACTTTAGCTCTCTAAGTGGTCCTTGGGGGGCTCATTATACCAACACAAATCTCTATCAGTGACAATATTTCCTGAATAAATCTCCATTAACATCATTACTCTGGGATAGCTGGTTATTCCAACCAAATGTACATCAAAGCAGGCAGTTTCAGCGCTGTGATAACGTGATTATCGTCATTTGTGAATTACAATGTCAAGAGAAAAAGAAAAGGGATATTTATATCTCCGTGGATGTACGCTGAAAAGATCAAGGCGAGCAGAAAGGCAGTGGGGACATTTCTGAATCTGCTTCCCAGTTATGAGGCAGTACACTTCTGATGGAGCATGGCTGACAGAGATTGTCCAAGCATCTGCTCGCTGTGGGGTTTTTACTGCGTTGGTGTGTGAGCGCATGTCTGTCATACACAACTAAGTGCTCTTCAACATCCCTCCATCTCCCAGAGAGCTGGAATGGGACACACTCTAGTGCCATAATGTGACACCTGTTTTAGATCAAGCCAAATGGGCGTATCGCAGCATCGCAAAGTTAAGAAAACCACCCAGGATGCGCAAAAACCCAGTGAGTCAACAAACAGAACCCAGGTAAAAGAAAATAAATGAAAAGGGCTGTCCCAGTGGGGTTATGCACATTTATACACATGCAAACCAAAGAAAAAAGACATTTCTACCTCATTCGAACACGATAAACAAAAATAACGAGCAGCAGGATGATTTTAGAAGACCGGGATTTGCATGGCGAACAAACCCCCCCTTTGGTGCTGCCCAGCAAGTCAAGAGTGCGTTGCATGTAGGCGGTGCGTGTTTTGTGTTCGACAACGAAGAGCAGACTTCATGACCTGAACCTCAGAGGATTCAGCACAAGATGCAAACCCCCCAGTTGGCCTTAAAAACAGAAAGACCAGCCTGCAGCTCACAAAGAAAAAAAAACATCCAACCAAAAACAATCCAGCAGAGTTGTGGAACAAAGTTCTACGAGCCGCTGAAACAGAAATGAGCCCTTAATAAATTGATGGAAAGAGGAAGAATGTGGAGAAGGGAAAAAAAATAACTTAGAAAATACCACCTCCTCTGGCAAACATGGTGGTGGTGGTGTTATGGCATGGGTGCTGGGAGTCAGACGCAAGCATCAGAACCCATTGAATGTTCTGAATGAGTGAGTCAAACAGCTAGACGAGACTAAAGGCAGAGATTTAATACAGATCAACATTAAATATCCTGATTTTGTTTGATTTCATGTGTATCTGTTGCTTCTGAATCCCTGAACTTTGGTCTCACTCACACAGTTCTTTTTAAATTAATACAAAACTAAATTAAAGCTGAGATTTTGAACTTAATATCCATTAAATTGAATTTCATGAAGATAGAAAAATTCTTATGGTCTAGACAGCACAAACTCTTTACTCATAACGTACAGAATGTTTGACTAAACAAGAATACTTTCCTTTATTACCTCCACACACAGTGTTTATGTGCTCCGCTGTCATTGGTTCAGCAGCCTGAAATCCATTGACATATCCAAGGAGAGGTAAAAGCAATGAGCTGCTGGGGTTAATGAAGTGGGAACTCCTGGTGTGTCAGAGAATATATTCCAAAACACGCCGGCTACGTGCACTTCCTCATAAGTGAGACTTTAAAGGAGAGACAAATCTGTTTTCGTCAAGATTTCAAGGTGACATTGTAGAACTGTGGCTGTGTTTAAAACTACATACATGACCGAGAGTTTGTCTGAGTTGAGTCGGAGGACACAGAGAAGGAAACAGAAATACAAGATTTATATAGTTTACTAGTCTGACTATGACTTCACCAACACCATCCATTTTTAGAACTGTATTACTTCTAGCTGACTTCTGGGCCACGATGGAAAAAGTTTAGGTAACTTTAAATGACTGAATCTCTGAATTACTAACTTTATATTTCACTACCATCACCCAGAAGTCGTAGTTTCAGTGGGCGGCTCTCTCTCTGACCATTCCAGCCGTCACTACTCTTTCTCTCGTTTCTTTATTTAGGCAAAATAAAACGTCCATCTCATCTCACTGTGAGTCAACTCAGAGCTCTCCGAGTGGCTCGGATGATACTTTCATGGTAAAGATTTAACTGAAGTTTTTTAGCACAGCAACTGCAAAGCATTTAATGGCTCCAGTTGTGTTACAGCAGTCCGAGATTAAGCGTAGAAAATGGCCATTGATTGATATAAAAATGTAGCGGCTCATTCTATCGATTGACCATCCTGTCCAGCACAGCGAGGGAAGACTTCATGCTGATCCCTCCATCTTCCAGCCCCATCCTCTCTGCACTGCTAGCTTAGTTTAATATTTTCTCTATAGACTGGTTTTGGGTGGGTTCCAGCATGCCCGTGTGTGTTTTTCTGCCCACCAATGGCGGGTCAGTGCCAGGCCGGAGAGCGAGCTGGCACAGGCGGCAGTGTTAATGGACACCATTAGGCTATGGTGGGCAGGTAAGCAGCGCAGCTCCTGGAGAGCAGCCTAATGTCTGATTGTTGGCTGTGGCGCTGACTGCAGCGAGCACATTCACACCTCGCTTCACCATATATAAAGAACAGCTGATGTACATTACAGTAGGAGGCAGCGCGAATGCGTTCAGCCGGGAACACTCCGCCGTTGAGTTAAAACCTCGTGTTTCCACTTTTAGAAGCACTAAGAAAACTGGTCTGATCTGACGGAGAGGTTACACGAGGTGTTCATCTGAATCAGCCTTTGTGCAACGTGTACAATGCACTGTATATCCGAGTGTGACGCCACGCAGCTTGTGCTTGATTTACGAGACAAACAAAAGATGCTTTGAAAGGAAACGCCTCCGACGCTGTTGGGAACTGATAGCACAGCAGATACAGGTGAGACCGAACAACAGCGTTCACAAAGCATCCTCCACCCAAACGGCCCTGATTTGGTGTTGAAGTACTGCAGCTACATTTTCATTTTTAAAAACAAACTTTTTACGATGCAAAATTTACTTACAAAGACTGAGCATAGAGTTGATTTGGGAAACTGCTTTACTGCATACCTGCCACTGTGCATTAAAACTGGCTGTCGACATATCCATCCTCTCTCTCTCTCGCTATCTCTCCATAGAGTTATCTCTCAACGAGGCACCCACAGACCCTGCCTGGAGCCGAGGGTCCTCTGGGACTTCCACTGGTTAGATATAAATAGAACATGAGCTGGCCAACTCATAAATATGTGGAGCTCCAGTGGAATGATGACATCTCCTGTCTGGCCTACAGCCCTCGCAGGCCACAAAAACACCCCGAAATAGCTGCAGCCCAAACAACAGACCCAAAGGTAGTCTCTTCAAGTGTTAGTTCATGCAAATTAGGAGCAGGAGCGGCGTGAGCGTTCAGACAAACAGTGATTCTGTCTGTCTACAGGTGTGAGTATCACTGCCTCCTCCAACGCGACAAAAAGGAGGCTTGTTCAAGGGCACTTTTGTTCGGATAAAGTGCTCTCTAAATTAGGACCGTCTACTTTGCGGGAATATAAAAAAAAAAGGGCATGAAATTAGAACCCAGCGTGGCTCTTAAAACATTCATCATCTGGTTGATTTGCTGCGTTAGAATAATTTTACAGTGCCATAGGTTCAGTGTGGCAATATTTAAGTAAGCGGCTTTTAGCAACACATCGGTTTCTGCTGAAGGATTAATGAAAGACTTTTTTTTTTTCTCTCTCTCTCTCTGTAACTCTATTGTGGTTCCAAAAGCAAAGAAAGCCTCATTTCCAAATAATAACAACACCTTTTAATTTGCAAGCCTCCTACATGCCCAATCTGGTAAAACAGCAAGCCTCGTTAAAACACAAACAACAACAACAACAACAACAACAACACTTGATGACTTGTGAAAATTGATTTTTGGTGAGTATTTCAGTGGGGATTGCACTTTGGCGTTTAGTAGCATAAACAAGGTGCTTGGCTCTGGACCAGATGAGGAGATGATATGGTGTGAAATGGAAAACTATCCACAACAGAGGCAACCTGACAAGCATGACAGGACGCTCCACACATCTCCACGAAGATCAGACGGCATAATAAACAGCGGCAGAGCAAATCCTTGAATGTGGTTGATTAGATCTGATAATGGCTGTAAGTGTATTTAAACAGGAGGTTAGTGAGGGGGGAGGGGGTTACGCCGATATTATGAAAGACTGGTCGAACGCTGAAGCTGCTCCACGGGTCAGTTCTGTCAGCAGCGTATGTCCCACTCAGTCAGAGGTTTTTCAGGATTTTGTGAAAGTTTTTTGGGGTATTTTTCCCCCATTTAGTACCGTACTTCCACATGCTCCTATCTATCCATCCATTCATCATCTATACACCGTTTAATCCTCACTAGGGAGTCTATCCCAGCTGACTCAGGGTGAAGGCAGGTTCACCTGGACAGGTAACCAGTCTATCACAGGGCTACACTTAGAGACAGACAACCAAGCACACTCACATTCACACCTACGGACAATTTACAATCACCAATTAACCTCAGCATGTTGTGGGAGGAAGCCGGAGAACCCGGAGAGAACCCATGCTGCATGGGGAGAACATGGAGACTCCACTCAGAAAGATCCCCCCACCTGGACGCGAACCAGCGACCTTCTTACTGCGAGGCAACAGTGCTAACCAACTGCGCCACCCTGCACTCTCCTAATATGCTGTAATTTCTTGAGAGAATAACATCAGTCTGAAACCCACAGACATGTTTTACAGTTTCTTATACTATAGCAGAGCAACTGCACGCAAATTACAGCGCTGATTGACAGATATATGCAACGCTGCCCACCGCGGTCGGTTTAATACTAAAGCAAACGGCTGAAAAACATCCCCTCCAGGCGCATGCATTATATAAACACTTCCTCTGAATACGGCTTTTCCTGAGGCTAAATCAGAAATCGTATAAAAAAATGAACAAATTGGACTGAATAAAATCCAGAATCTGTACATACGCTCATATTTGTCTTTTATCCAAGACCCTGATGTAAGGAGCCACTAAAAGACGCCGAAGGCCTCCACATCAACACCGGTGTTAGTCTTCAAAACCAGACGTCAACTTCAGGTGAGCGCAGGTAAACTTTCCACTTGGAGCAGAAACGCTTGAAAACAGTCGTGCCGTCGAGCATTAAACATGCAGAGGAGAAGGTCAAACATTTGAGAGGAGCAACACCGACCAAAACAGAATCTAAGAGTGGAAGGACACTTTAGGCCGACTTTGAAAGGAGTTATTTTTGTCGGCGGTAAAAAGATGATGTGGACGTTCAGCAGATGGACATTATTCTCACATACTGTACGACTCAGTGATCATTATGGTAATACAGGAAGGCTTTTGAGGAGGTCGAGCCCTGACAGAATTAACCGTCTCCAGCCCGGAGCTATTTCCTCTAGTTAGGGGGAATTTTGTGCGTTTATTGCATACTGTACAGCCGCTTTTCAAGTGGATTCAATTAGATGATCTACATCCAGCTACCTGCAAATGAAGAAAAATCAGAGAAAATCCCACGAGTGGACGCATTGTTGTGGCTCACAGGTGTAAACCGAAACGTACTGTAACCGATCTCACCCTGCGTAATAGGAATTCACGTGCACACAAACACACACACGGCAGCTCCAGAGTCAAAGGTGCAGAGTTAACATTTCTGTGGCTGCTCCTGGATTTGCTGCTTGATTGATTTTCCTCGACACCACGCTGCTGGTGAATATCACCTTCATCTAATGACGGCGATATCGGCTCTCGGCTGGAGGTGGCAGCGATAGTAAGAGCTTTAATCAGCCATCCACGCAAATCAATGCAGAGTCTCGATAATTATTTTTATGTTTTCGTGCCGAGATCGTCTTCAAAAAGTAACTGAAAGCAGCTTTTTTTTTTTACCATGTTTTGCTGAAAGGCTTCACAAAGGTTCAGCAGCGTTTGATTGAAATCTGTCTAACCAACGACAACAACAAAAAAAAAGAAGCATTCACATGTGGCGCTTTCATTTGACTCATCCATTTTCCAAGGACGGATTGCTTTCTGGATTTTCAAGCCCGAATCTGTCCGTCAGGAGAAAACAATCTGACCGACGTCTGAAGTGCGGAACAAAGACATCATCTCCCGCCTTGTGTGGTAGAACCAATCTTCTGCTGAGGAAAATTCTACAAGGGCTCCAGAAATCAGTTTAGTAAATGAGATTTGTGAAAGTTCATTATAATAAATATCGCCGCCGCCGCTGTTGCCGGCTTCACGAGGCGGTAAAAATGGGAGGGAAAATGAATAAAAGGACAGGATTATGGGAAGAGATCTATACAGGAGAAGAAGGGGGTAAAAAACGGGCTTGTTCTAACTTGGCAGTGAGCGAGCAGAGCTTTATTAATACCTGCCTGCAGTCCCACTTGGGTTCCTGTGAGGGATGTCTAGCTGGGAGAGGAGGCACACGGGCAGGAGGCAAAAGGGTGATCAGTTTTTATTGTTCTCCTAACAGCTGACACCTCGGCCAATTTTGTCTGCGGCTTCGCCAACCTTTTGGGTTCTGTTTGGACACCAACCCCCCTGTGTGATGGGTTCTGTCCCCCAGCTCACTGACTTAACATGCTGCAGCCGAGCAGGAAAAAAAACCAAAGAAACACGCGTGTGCTTCACGGTCATGCAGTGACTGGATTCTAGAGCTGTGTGGGAATTTTTCCACTTCAGAGGACGCAGCGAATTGTCCCCAAAAATCAAGACTGTGAGTCCGGCGAGCCATCACGCTCAGCAGGAGTCTGATGTTAATTTGACGAAAGAGGTAATTTGAGGAGCCTTTATGTCTCCGCCGCTAATGAGACACTTTTGAAGTTTTCCTCCGCACCGCTCTGCGATAAAACAACGGGCCTGAAATTGTGCCACCGAGGTCCCGGACCAGTCGATACGAGACGCTAAAGTACAGTAGAAGGCAGACATGAGCTCAATCACTCAATCTGTGACAGAGAAAAACACACAGTGAGGCTGTTATGTAGCAGCTGTCTGGGAGAACAGGGAGTAGCATCGCTCTTATTGAACACAGAGAACAATAAAATATAACCTGGGGGGGCAGATCCCACTGTGTTCTCCGCACAATCAATAAGACTATTTTAAACCTCACTGATGCAGCAGCTGTGTGTGTGTGTGTGTCGGTGTGTGTGTGTTGGTGCACGTGGAGCCGAGCAGGAACACATGACCTCACACATGCAGGACTGAAAAGATAGATGGACAATGAGCGAAAGCAAAAATAAAAGAGCAGGAGTGTCATCATCACTCATAGACAGACTCTGTTTACTCTCCTCCACTTAGAGCCAAAAGTCAAAAGCACTCAGCACTAAAGGCACATACAAGCTCATTTGCACACACACACTCTCGCTGAATAAATTCATCTCTGGCAGCTTTTTTTAAAAATTCTAATACATGTGAGGCAGACATGCAGGTTTGCTCTCACACACTCTCCTGCAGACGCACACACACATTCTCGCTCTGTCACCCACTTAATGATTCCATCTTTCTGCTGCTGCTTTACTGTCTGTGTGAGGAGTGTGTGTGTGTCTGCACATGTGTGTGTGTGTGTGTGATGGAGAATGTTTAATTAAAGCAGCCCCAGGGTTGTCATTCCAGCAGCTGGATTCCACACAAAAAAAGTGTTCATTTTATTGTCTGATCCAGTGTTTGGATAAGAACTGAACAGAAGAATAAAAAATAAACTTTAAAGTAAATATGGATTTTTGTTTGTCATAATGCTCAATAAGAGTCAGAGATGAAAACACATTTAGGAATGTGCAGCTTGTGTATTTAATCTCTCAGCTTCCTGTTTCTATCCTCCGGCACCCTCCTCACCCACTAATGTAACAATAAGAACTGCAATAAAGTCATTTTCAGCTCCCTACATAAATGTTTGCAGGACTTATCACTGATGGTTCGCTCTAACTGCGGGCATATTAGCGGCTCATTGCTTTAACTCCTTTGCCCCATCAGGTTTCCTCACTGTCCTGCTCTAATAGAATGTCTAAAGGCACGATGAGGGAAATGGAGAAGCACTGAGAGGGGGGATGAAGTGTCGGAATTTCAGGCTGTGCACAAACTCTCCAGATGCGTGGGGCTTACCTTGGTTGCAGTGGCCGAAGCGAGTGAGGACAATTCCAAGAAAGAGTGAAACGAGGAAAAATCTGTTTCCAAAACTCATGTCTGCTGCAACATCTACCGCCGGCTCGATCCTGGCTGCTTCTTGCCGAGATGGTGAGATAATAAAAAATAAATCAACACGCGTGTGGGTTCCTCCACGAGCACCGATCCACTGCTCTTTTACATCTGATCCCGGGTGGAGAGAGCTGCCGGCTGAGCGAACCAGACGCGGTCCATCCTTTACCTGGTGGCCGCAGCAGCAGCAGCAGCAGCAGCAGCAGCAACTATGGCGCCAAATGGACAGATCTTTTTTCCTTTTTTTTAATAAATGCAATTTAAGTGAAATCAAATTATCAGATGAGATGAGGGAGGGGAAAAAAAGCTCCTAACAACTTTGACAAATGTCCACGGACTTGAGCCGCCGTTGCTGCATTGTTTCAAAGATGCATTAAAATGCAATCTGGTGCGTCTCCGTGGCGCGCGGAGTCGTGACAGACTTTCGGAAAAACCCTGCGTTTGGCACCTCGAGGTGCTCGCCGCCTGCCAGCTCCCTGCCTCTCTTCCAGCTCGGTCCGCTGCAGCAGCGCGATGGGGACGGTGAGCAGAGGAGTGATCGGGATGCAGCGGCGGCGCATCTGAAGCGGCTGCTATAGCGGGAGACTGCGCGCATCTGTGCAGGATGCTCGGCACTAGAGGGGGTTAGCTGACAAGGCAATGGCGTGTGTGCGTGTGTGTGTGTGTGTGTGTGTGTGTGTGGTATCTATTGGTTCAAATGCAGGGCTTCCCACAATCTTCCACAAGGACCTGAAAATAATGAAATCTGCTTTGCATCCCTGCGTGATAGGGCCCATAAGTTTGATCCAATCGACTACATCTGACAGACGAGTCTGTCAGCATCTGCTACTAATTATAAAGTTTAAGTTATTAGCAGGTGGTAAAAGAAGATGCTCGTGATAAGTTTCTTGCACAAGAAACAGGCCAAACTGTTCTCTATACTCTAATCAAACTTTCAAAAACTGAATAGATGAAAAAACTCTTCATCTAACAATTAATTCAATCTCCATATATAAACTTCAGAGCATTTTTTTTTTTCAAATGAAGCCTAATTGCATTGCTTTTACTCCAATATAAATGCTAGTTTTGATTAGGGAATCTGAATAAGTTGCCTCCTAACAGCAGGCAGACAGACTGTGGAGCTGATGGCATCTAATATAAATCTGGATGCTGCTAGACAGAGAGTGAGTAATGAACATCATCACAGCGAGGGGATTTATTGGACTGTCGGGTGTATTTTGTGATTCTCAGCTGGAAGTTGTGCAAACAAAAGTTCACGGTCAACTGCTAATTTGGTGAAAACAGGCCAAATTTTTAAAAAAGGGGACAGTTCAAGTCATTAGGCACTGATGTCCTGCTTTTTTTTTCTTTTTTTTTTAGTCTGGATCTTCTCGTGAAGCAGTGCTGACGTGGAATCCTATGTTCAGTATGTCAGCACAGCAAACTTTACCTCAGAGGAAGAAGTGTAGTTTCATCCATTTGCAGTGCAAACCGTGAAGCCGCTCCGCTTGCCAAGCCGCCAATGTCAGCCAAGATTAGGGAAGGTCTTCTTCTCATCTTCATGGACGTCTCATCGAGTGAGTAAGCAAACCCTCCCCAATCTGACCCGGTTAAACAAAGCAACGCTGGCTGCTGTGATGAGACCCAGTCAATCAGGACACAGGAGCAGCTTCCTGTCAGCACAGAGGAGGTAAATACATCAACATCACAATCCGTCACCACCACTTAGCTCCCGGCCAATCACCAAACAATGCGGAGAGGCTGCCAGCCGACTTTGTGCGGCGCAACGTGCAAACACGTTGGAGGACGGAAGGTTGTGGAGCAGAATGCAGCGTATTGACCACGGCGGGCCGTCGGTGTCTGTTGTAGCTGGAGGGAAGCCGCACACTCTACAGAAATGGATCAAGCTATTAATGTCACGGCGCAGATGTATTGCAGCTATAAAAAGATGGATAAATGTTGTGGGGGCCTCTCAGGAAAACACAAAGTTATGGAAATTTCAGACGGATGGTAAAAGTGTTCGCACTGATTCATCATTAAGTGAAGCACAGAATTCAATATTCCACACATGCCACCACTTTGTATCTCAGCGGCAAACTATAAAATGTCAGTCGATGTTTGTCTTTTAGCCTGAAACGCCTTGTTTTCACTGTATTTCCTCCGGAGCTCTGAGCTGACATGCAGCGCTGTTCTTATGCTATTTAACGCTGCCAAAAAAATGCAACCAAAGAATATCTTGCTAATGACATAAATCGTCTCCCATCCTGCGGAAAGTGAGACGAGCGATGACGACGATGATAAAAGAGGGCTAACTGTTGGGAAGAGGTCCTCTACTGCCACCACCACCTCCCCCCCTCCACACCCTGCAATGATTTGGTTTCCTTTGCTGTAATAGTGGTCAATGAGGTGTGACTGTAGTGTATAGGAGGCCTAACTGTGAGCTATGATTCCCCCCCGTCTGCAGAGAACAAGCTCCGTCCATCTGTACTCATCACAAGTGAGGAGCTGGAACGAGACCACATCAGCACAACTGACAGAGACAATGAGACTTTATAACGCTAATAGGTTCACTAATGTCCTGTTCACAATGAAGTGCCGGGCCGCACAGAACTACGCCGTGGAGTGAATCCAAACTGTTAAAAAGCTCCGGCTGAAAGGAAAGTTCCACACCAAGTCCATTGATTAACAGCCACAATATAGCTGCTTTACTGGGGTTCGGGATGCTGTCGGACGGCGCGTCGTTCGGATAAAAAGGCGAAAAACAGCGACATGACTTCACGTTTAAAGGAGAACAGTCGGTTGTAAATTTGGGATCGGAATCCAGTTGTTGTAGTTCCTAAAAGAAAGCATTTCCCTGCGCGTTATACCACGTATAACTGTGTTTGTGACCAACAAAGGCCTCGAATCTGGAAAGAAACACAGTCATCAAGTTGTTCAGCTGAACTGAAGTTCTAATGTGTTGGGAAACTCAGTAGATCAATAGAGA